CGGGTGGTGGGAGGGCTAGTAGGTTATTGTTACTGGCTTCTTCCAGGATGTGGACTCTCGGGGCGTTTAGGGGAGTGTAGAAGTCATACCTCCCGCTTCTGTTGGCTTTGGCCGGCTTCTTGAATTGGCTGTCATTATTGACTTTTACCTTATCTTTGTGGCCCTGTTCCGGTTTTGCGGGGCCCTTCCCGCGAACTTGGTCGCGGAAGGCCGAGTGCTCTTCCATCTGAATGTAGCCGGCGGCGCGGGCACGCAGCTCATCCATGTCGCGAGGGGTGTCGCGGCATAGGCTGGCGGCGAAACATTTGTCTTCAAGGTGGCCATAGCTCTAGAGATTGGGTCGTTGGCCCATGGTCCATCATCCCATTCCTCTTGGTTCCTTCAATGTATCACCTCTTGGATTCCTTGGCCTTGGCCATAGTCTATCACTTCTAGTGTTCCACATTAGACTTATGGCATACTACACACAAGCACACAAATTCCTCTACTCCTCTCTTCACCTTAGGCCACCACACTTCCGTTGCGCCACTCTGATACATCTTAGTAGCTCCTAAATGAATGCTAAGAGTACTCTTTTGTCCTTTCTCTAAGATCATCTTCCTTAATTCAGGATTACTAGGTACATAAATTCTATCCTTGAACCCCAAAACACCATCAACTTCCACTCGTAAAGGGCTATCTATACCCCTACCAATCCTTTGCACTTGGTTTACTAAGACAAGATCTAACTCCTAGGCTTCTCTAATCTCATCCATTAATTCAGTAGTCACTTTCAACATACGCAATCCAATGCTTTTAAGGGTGAGCTCATGCATGACACTTAAGTCTCTAACCTCCTTAATCAAATCCGACCTTTAAATCATCAAAGACGATAGGGGAATGGTCATCCTACTCAAAACATCGACCACCATATTGGCTTTACCTAAATAACAACTAAGATTAAAATCCTAGTCCTTAAGAAACTTCAACTATTTTCTTTGTCTCATAATCAACTCCTTTGGTCGAAAGATATTTAAGGCTCTTATGATCACTAAATACCTCAAGCTTAGAATCATGTAGGTAGTGTCTCCAAATCTTCGTGTAAATATCATAACTGCTAACCCAAGGTCATGGGTAAGGTAATTCCTCTCATAAATTTTCAATCGCCTAAAACATATGCTACTACCTTTCCTTCTTGCATCAACACTCCATCTAAATCCATCTTTAGAAGCATCACTATATACCAGGAAAGGCTTACTAAAATCCGGTAATATTAACACTAGTCAATCTTTCCTTAGAGTTTGGAAACTACTCTCACTCTTACTATTCCACACAAAGACAACACTCTTCCTAGTCGACCTAGTCAAAGGTAATGTTATCTTAGAAATTTTCTCAATAAATATCCAATAAGAATAAGCTAACCTAAGAAAACTCCTATCCTCACTAACTGACTTTAGTATCTCCCACTTAAGCACAACTTCTACCTTAGATAGACATACATTATACCTCCGTTAGAAATTTAAAAGGCCAAGAAAACTCACTTCATACAACCAAAAATCATACTTAGATAACTTAGCCTAAATCTGTCTTGGATATAACCTCACTCGCAACTCCAATCTGATGATATCACACCACAAACATCCACCAATTAATCCTTAAGGTCATCTATCCTCGTATCAACATACATGCATATCAAATCATATTAGAATACCTACATTAAACATATCATTCCTAATCATGTACGAATCAATCACCATTTACTCCATATAGCATGTACATGAACCAACTTTACCACATAGCATCATACAACCTTAAACAACCATTCAATTCACATGACAACGCCTCAGAATATCATAACCAAATCAGTTTTTATCCTTCATGGCCTAATAACTCAAAAATATCAACATATCCCTTTAACAACTATCAAAGAAAATGAGAGTTATACTCATCCAATTGATCTCAAACCTATCTCAAAAGAAAGCTAAGAGAATAAGGTACAACTCTTATGAAGACATGAGATTCTAAAAAGATCATCTTCTTAGCTAAAAATTCAAAAATCACAACAGATATATTCAGCGCTTACAGCTAGACCTCTGATCACCAAAGCAGCTATAACTGGAGTTTTAGACCTCCGTTTTTCCTTATTCCTGTTCCATTGGAAAGATAACGTCGAAGGCTACAATTTTCATGAAGACTACTAAATCTAATTCTATCAATATAGCACTTGTACTTGCACAACAAAACTGCAGTGCAAACATCCCCTACACCAGACAACAATAGTGTATCAACATCTAAGCCCACGAAAAATCCTCAATCCTTCCAAACTCACTCCTTTCCACCTCAGATTCATATCCAATGTTCTCACTACAATCCTAAACCAAAGCAATTCACATAGTCATCACAAAAGACTTAGAAAATAAAACTCAAATGCTACAAAAAACATAAAAGGTTAAAATGCAAGAATCGAAAATCAAGAAAATTACCAACATTTCAATCTCTCATCAAGAATACCAAAACTCCAGTTCTCAACATACAACCTCATTGGATTCAATTGCTAAAACTACAGATTTCAGAAACATCCATCAACCATAAACTCTCAATACATTTGACAAATCAATGTCTCACCCGCATCCAAGATTCCAATAGTTCTAGCTGGTTAACACAATGTTTTTTCCACTACTACTTGCACATATGCTCGCAACACGAGCGATACCACCCAACCACTACTTCTTACATAAGCAAGAAGTATCAAAACAAATAAGCAATCATAAATAGCATCATCTCAGCTATATCATGTCCATCAGCCAAATTATGAGAAAACAATACACACAATTAAATAAATAACAAACATAGTCATTCATCACACTAACACATCAATAAGTTCCACAATCAAATCATTCCATCATTCATCTACCAAACAAGCATAGTAGACTCATAACTCATGGCCAATTCCATCGACCTGCTCTGATACCACTAAATGTGACACCCTCTACCCCAACATACATATACAATCATTTAAAAAAATGCTTTAATTAAAATCTTTCATAAATAAAACCAAATTCTCAAATATCTTACGTAGAGGATGCACATTCGTAAACTCATAAACAATATCTTCAACACGGAAATTACAAAGAAATAAAACTGAGTTTTCAAATAGTCTAATGGAAATAGCATCCTAAACTAAGCCTAGCTATGCCCCGATGTCACATATCCTATCAGAGCATGCCCAACTAAGCCTAAGCTTCATCACCAACATCTTCATGCTGATGATCACCTGCAACACAATTTAAACACAGACAAATAACAACAAGGGAGTGAGAAACATCTCACTCAGGTTCAGGTGCAGAAATAAAGGTTAGATATCACACATACACACAACAAACACATCACAAGTCATAAACACCAATCACATATAAACAATACACATGCATAATCAGTATCACATGTACACTCATTTATCATGCAATGATATCATGGACTTGACTCATAAATGCATGTGGCGCCAGTCACATGCCTCATCACATATCTCATCATTTCATCATTGGTGACCCAAGGTACACCTTGTTAACCTATTACATCACCGGTGACCCTAAGGTGCACCTTGTTAGCTTGTTAAATGACTAGTGACCCTAAGGTACACCTTATTAGCTTGTTACATCACCAGTGACCCTAAGGTACACTTTGTTAGCTTGTTACATCACTAGTGACCCTAAGGTACACCTTGATAGCTTGTTACATCACCAGTGACCCTAAGGTACACCTTGTTAGCTCATATATGCACATGATGCATGTCACACATTTACGATTTCATTGACTCAACATTTCACTTGTCATGAAATTTCAGGTCTTATCACATTCATCACATTTCACATTCTCATAGTCATAGCTTATCTCATTTCATCACATTTCATCAATTACATATTTATACTCTACATTACACAAGGAACGCAATAGAACATTCAAAAAGCAAAACAAAAAACATTCATATTTTGTTTGTTTTCTAATTTCGAAATCAAATACATATTCACACACCACATCCAACAGGGAAATCTGGTCAATCTCCTTACCTGGATGAGCAGAAGACGAAGCTAGAGCGAAATCTGGTCAATCTCCTTCTCTTGGTTCTCCTTAGTCTCCAGAGAGGGTGTTCAGAAACACTGTTAGAGTGCTCTATTTATAGATTTCAGGAGTGGCCAGAATGGCCCGTTTCAAATCTGGATCGGCCCGTTCCGGATCCTTTCATCATGTATTAAATTCTCATCTGGAATGGCCCGTTCTAAAACCAGAACGGCCCGTTCTTAACTAGGGTTACAAGCCTTTTTGGTGGTTTGGAACACTCCGTTCCCAACTAGGATTTGTAGGCCATTTTAGTAGTTTGGAACGGCCCGTTTTAGTTTGGGAATGACTAGTTCTGGGCTACTAAATCAAGCTTGTTTTAGGTTTTTGGAACGACCCGTTCTAATTTGAGAACGGTCCGTTCTTGGCTACTAAGTCACCCTAAAAATTACTAAATTACCCTCAATAAAAAGCATGAAAACTAGGGTGTTACTCATAAAGGTTGTATTTTAGATTTTTTTGAGAATTTATTATTCAAGAATTGTGTAAAAGAGAGCAATCTTATGATAAAATCTATTCAACTCCTTCTAGATTCTAGTACACTAGGATCAACATATAGAATATACAAATTAAATATTTATTACTAATATTTAAATAAATTAAGTATATAAATAAATATTATATTTAAATATATAAATTTATTTAAAATTTGAATAAATACATATTTATTCATTTGAATATTTTTATTTAATTGATTAAAAATTTAAGCTTAAAAAGAAAGAGTAGAAATTTCCCTAATAAAAGCAAATTCTGATTAAAAGAAAAATCTGAAACGAGGCTAAGCAGAAGAGAATGGCTAGAGACAGCGTCCTCACTCGCGTGGCGACGGGAGCCGCCG